GCTCGCGGGAAGAATGCGAAAAGTGGGCAGCGGCAGCCGGCAGGCCAGGGCAGAGGTGGGAATTGAGGCCGCCAGCCCCAAACCCTAAAAGGTAATATTTTGGGTGGTAGCCTGTGTGAGCTCACAGCGGGTGGGAAAAGAAATAGAAACCAATTTGTAATTGTTTTGTTGTGAATCGCATTCCGCTACTAGACGTGGATATGCCGCCCCCCCACACCCCTGGGAGTGTGGGGGCGCCATCTTACATAGAAAATACTGCCGCCGCGCGGCGAGACACCCTAAACCCTAAACCCTAAGCCCTAAACCCTAAACCCTAAACCCTAAACGCGAAACCCTAAACCCTAAGCCTAAACCCTAAGCCCTAAGCCCTAAACCCTAAACCCTAAACCCTAAACCCTAAACCCTAAGCCCTAAGCCCTAAACCTTAAACCCGAAACCCTAAACCCTGGCAGGTACGGTGGCCTTCATGTGGGAGCTGCCCTTCCACGGCTGGGACATCATAGCGGCCGTTGGAAACTTGGTTCTTGTTAAGGGATTTAGTTTCAGTTACCATAATTTAGGGTTCGTTTAAGGGTTCTAGAAGGGTTTAGGGTTTAGGTTCTTGTTAAGGGGTTTAATTTAAGTTACCATGATCGGGATCTATAAGGGTTCCCTTAAAGGGATTGATAAGGGTACCTTCAAGGGTTTAGGGGGGTTTAAGGATTTTAAGTTACCAACAGGGATCTATGGTAAATAATATGGTTTCTTTATTATGGTAACTTAAATTAAATCCTTTAACAAGAACCCAGGAAACTGGGACAGCTTCGGGTACACCCCAGGAGAGAAGGACCTGGCTTTCAGTGAGCGCATCCTTGGCGATTGGTATCAGCACCGGGGCCCTTCTTCGGTAATCCTTTTTGTTGGGGTTTAAGGTTTAGGTTTTAGGGTTGGGGAGCGCTTTATGTGGTTTGAGATTTAAACGGGAGTGAAAAGTTGCGAACTTAATCTGCCATAGAATCGTCGGGAGATGTAGTAAGTACATTTTTTCAAGATCTCAGGTTTCTGACCCAGGGGGACATCACAGATCGCGGCTATGCTCCCGTCCAGGCCACCAAAGCCTCTGAGAACGTCATCGGCAACGATGTCGGCGAGACAAAGACATCCGTGCGTCCCAACCACAAGCATGACGTCTGCGAGTTCTGGGAATCGATTGGCGTGGACCAGCGGTGGTGGATGATCAACTGATGAGGCCACTGATGAAGCGAAGCAGAGTTTCTTCAGCCACCACATTCTTAGTCTAGAGGGAGATCCTTTTTGACTCAGCTCGGCTGACTCGTGCCGATCTGCGAGCGAGAAAGTGCAGGTACGTGGGTGTTGCGATCTGTCACGTGAGTGAGGTGTAGATTTCGAGATTTAACGCTTTGTGTTTCACGGTTTCCAGTTTTTATTCAGGGTTTTAGTGCTTTAGGATTAGGGTCCTAGGGACTCAGGGTAGCTGAAGCTTGCATGCTGATCCCTCACACCTTCCGCTTCAGGTGTCCAGCTTCACCGGGTTTAGGGTTTAGGGTACTTCGACGGGGACCCAATTTTTTTTGACCCTTTTATTTTTTTTTTTGGTGCCCTTTTTTTTTGTTTGCCCTTCCGTGGGAAGGAAGGAAGGAAGGAAGAGAGGAAGAGAGGAAGGAGGGAAGGAAGAAAGGAAGGAGAAAACAAACAAGGAAGGAAGCAAGAAAGGAAGGATGGAAGAAAAAAGGAACGTAATCGTATATACACTGATACCTGCGCAACACTGGACTTCATTGATGGCATTGCAGGTCACCCATGCCCGATCAAAGCTATGAATCAACGATGCAGCACGCGCGCAGGATTGCAACTCGGCACCACCTTCCACAGGCATGGAGGCATCGATGCGTAGCAAGAAGCAAAACCCAGAGAGAACCCTAAACCCTAAACCAGAGGCATATTCTCATGTGGGAAATGTTGATTTTTCCCGGGAAACACCTCGAAAACGAACCAAAAACAAAGCAATGAGTTAATCTCATGAAAAGATATAAGAAATTTTGTTTTTCCGTGGAAAACCAAGTAAACGAATCAAAACGAAAGAATTCATAGGAACTCATTCAAAAAGTGGTATTAATCTTACGAAGCTATACATTGTTGGTTTTCCTAGGAAAAACCAAGACAACGAACCAAAGAAAAACAATGAACACCAAATAGAGAGAAATAAGATAAATGCTCCCAAAACAACTTCACTCGTTTGTTTTCCTGCGTAAACGTAGAAGTAAACATAGACAAATACAGGTCTATGCATGTAGATATGGACATATCGAGAAAATCCTGGTTTTCCACCTTAAAACTAGATACAAGATAGGTTTTATACTAGGGAAATATAAACAAACTAGAAGTTTTCCTATGGGAACGTAGGCAACTCCCCCCTAAACCCGAAACCCGGGAACGTAGGGAACTCCCCTCCCCCCCTAAACCCTAAACCCTAAACCCTAAACCAGAGGCATATTCTCATGTGGGAAATGTTGGTTTTTCCCGGGAAACACCTAGGACACGAACCAAAAACAAAGCAATGAGTTAATCTCATGAAAAGATATAAGAAATTTTGTTTTTCCGTGGAAAACCAAGTAAACGAATCAAAACGAAAGAATTCATAGGAACTCATTCAAAAAGTGGTATTAATCTTACGAAGCTATACATTGTTGGTTTTCCTAGGAAAAACCAAGACAACGAACCAAAGAAAAACAATGAACACCAAATAGAGAGAAATAAGATAAATGCTCCCAAAACAACTTCACTCGTTTGTTTTCCTGCGTAAACATATCTACATCCATAGACAAATACAGGTCTATGGATGTAGATATGGACATATCGAGAAAATCCTGGTTTTCCACCTTAAAACTAGATACAAGATAGGTTTTATACTAGGGAAATATAAACAAACTAGAAGTTTTCCCATGGGAACGTAGGGAACTCCCCCCTAAACCCGAAACCAGGGAACGTAGGGAACTCCCCCCTAAACCCGAAACCCCTAGCCCCGCCCCCACCCCCGCCCCCCCCCCCCAAAAAAAAAAAGAGGGCCAAAAAAAAAAAAATGAAAGGGTCAAACAAAAATCTCCACCCTACTTCGACCAGTAACCCGGAACCCCAAAACCAAACTCTCAACACCTACCTAGAGTAACTAATGTACCTTTAGAAGAGGGATATGACCCTTGTAAACTTGGTATACATTTAGCTGTTTTTGAAGTCCATTGGTTGGCCTAGGTCAGGAACGACTTTGCCGGCTAAGTCTGTATGTCGCAGCCACGTTGTCTCACTCTGTACAGTCGATTGTTGCTTTTATGTTCTTGCTTTCTTGATTCTTATACGGACCGAGCGCAGCAGCTGCTGTCACCGAGGCCCACTCACGCAAAAAAAATTATATTGGCTTGTCGTTGCACAGGTCCCAGGCGCTTTCTCATTTAGAAGGTTGGCCTTTGCCTAGTTGTGTTCCCAACAAAAACACATCCAGGTTGCGAGTATGGCTTGTGGAGGTCAAAGGTGTGTGCATGTACATGTCTGTACATACATACATTCCAAGAATTGACTGATTTGGTGCGGTCATCGCATGAATTACAGCCATCTCAGCTTGTGTGCAGCTGAACCTGTCATGGGAACATGCACACATGCATGATGTCACAACTGCGAGCGAATGATGAAACTGCAGCGGGTGACCTGGGCTGCACGAATAGTCGCGACCATTTGGCACCTCTGCACACAAGCTTCGGCCGAGGTCGTCATGTTAGTTCATCCGATGAGCACTGTATGTGCAAGTGGTCAATTCACAGCACAGCAACAACGCAACACAATCTTTGCAAAACTCTTCCTAGGCTTAGGCCCAGAATGAATGGTGTACCAACAGGCACCAGGTAGCAAAAGGCACGATGACGGTTTCAGCATAAATCGGTGTTTCCTCCCAGGAGACATGCCAGCTACACCAATCACTTCACAAGCAGCTTCAAACGGGCTTTAAAGCTTTTGAGGCCTTCCACATGAATCACCCATTTAGACAAGATTGTTGGTGATCTCGAGCCGCTCCTCCATGTTTTTGGCACCTGTCTCGATTGACCTGCTGTTGATGGTCGTCAAAGCTCAACAACTTCGTGAGAAGTTCGTCCGCCGAGTTGATGTGCTTGCTGCCTCCCCTTGAGGATGGAGTTAAAGCTGCTTTTGCTTTCCTGGTCCTTCACGTTGGTGAGTTCTCATTCCGTTTGCCTTTCCGGGCTGCAAGACACTCTGTTTGCCCTCCAAGTGCTTATAGCTGGGGTTTTCCAGTTTGACACCGAAGCCGGCGTTCTTGTCCAGAACCGAAGTCTTCACATCCACGGCTTGATCGAGCTCTGATTTTTTTTGTGGTCGGATCATCCTCGGTCTGGGTGCTGTGTATGAAATAGGAGCGGCTGATCGAGTTCAGCTCACTGTTGTTGGGATCCAGTCCTGAAATCCAGAATCTTTTGGATTACGTTTTCAATGCAAAGTTTTAGTTTTGGTTCAGAAGTTCCAGTAGCATCGGACCGGCGTGCAACCTGCATTTTTCAACCTGTGCACTTGGTGAGCCCGACAAACGCAGCTTCAGATACAGCCATCGCAGGCCGTGTTGAGACAGAGCCAGAAGTCCAATAGATGTGTGAAAAGATCTCACAATGGTTTCGACATCCCTTGTCGATGTAGCTTCCAAGTCAGAAGCATGATTAGACTTTAGACCTAGCAGCAACATGTTTCGAGTGCACAGATGGTCAAGTCCAGGGTGAGTGCGCAGCTTGCTGACAGGCATAGCGCTGTGTGAAGCTGAAATTTCCTTCGATGTCTAAACCCTAAACCCCTAAACCCTAAACCGCGCGTTCTTTCAGCCCTGGATCACTCAAGGCAAGAACTCTGAGCAGTTCGGTTGTTTGGTTGCAGCATGAACCTCTTTGCTGTTCACCATCCTACTTCCCCATGTTGGCTCTTTGCAGCGAGGCTTGCGGCTTTGCAAGATGACCATCGATGTGGAGACCGCGATCGTGCCTCGCGGCATTAAGCAACATGCACCGGTTCTGCGGTGTTTGGGCCAGTATGTGTCGTGTGTGATTTAAACAAATTCTGCTTTGCCACGGCTACAGGAGTGTCTGAAGCTGCAAGGTGCAAGGAACGCCGTTGGTTTGGGCTGCTCCATTTCCACGAAACATGTTTCTCACCCTACTCGATCCTATCCGAAAAATCCTCGCCACACGTCAAAGCTTCGAGTCTTGTCCCACTCGCGGCCGCAGATAGAAACAGGAAGACTGCACAATGTCAAACAGAAGACACTTGTTGTGGGAAGGGGTGACGGTAGATGCTTCAGATGTCCATCATTGCTTCATGTATATAGGTTCAAACACATGCTCAAACACAGGCTCGAGTTCTGGACTGTAGAGGCTTGTAATGTAAGCTGGCTCGTACTTTGAATGCCAGGTGCGCGTTGGCGGGTGGCTGCCGTGGCAAGGCATATTCTATTGCCGGTCACTGGACCGGCCCTAATGTATGATGGCTATTGCGATACGCAATAAAGAAGTTGCCGTGAGCAGAATGTGCAGACTAAAAAGCCTTGCCGACATTTCGCGAATATGTGCTTTCACCATATGGCTTCCAATTCTATGCTATGCTGCCCAAGATGTCGCTTCTAAATGCTTGTACATGCTGTGTTGTCAAGAGCGTTGTGCCGCCATAGTTTGTAGCTTATTGCCTGTAGCTTCTTGCTTGCTGAGATGTGTATGTGTCTACGCATGTGCATATGTAACTATGTATGTATGTATGTATGTATGCATATGTATTAGCATATATATATATATATACATATGTATATGTATAAATGCATACATGTGCGCACATACACCATTTAGCATGTGTTGTCGTTGGTAGGTAAGGTTTCACTTGTTCGTAATATATCGGAAGCTGCTACATATCACTATCTGTCTATGTCGCAACAACACCACAAACACTGAACCTCAAGCCCCCACTCTGTCAGGGTGCTTCTGCTTCATGCGGCCCGAGCGCCGCGTTTGCTGCCTCAGATTGAAGCACTGGGCTACACCGAGGGCTCTGCAGTTCGCTTTCGGGTTTAGGGAAGTAATTCCCAAGCCTTCGCCTCAGTATGGGAGCTTGTATTTATTATGGGAAGGCATGAACAGGTGTTCCTAATTGCTTCCTCAGCGATGAGCCCATGGGCCCTTGGGTTCAGGGTCGGATGGACCATCGACAAGACAGGCAAAGCTCGAAATGGCAAATTCGGAGTTGGCGCTTGTTGTGTACAATTTGTAGTACAATGTGCCATAGTATACTGCCATATACTATACTTTAGTATAGTATGCGAAAGTATATTAACATATACCTTATGTTCTGAATCATAATATATTATGCGATAATATACGAGAATTACACTAATACACCAGGTGGTGCTACAGGGCGACCTTCTCCTGCTCTGTCACCTTGCACAAGGCAGGTTCAGCGTCGAATCTAAAAGGTCGGGGCCTGTGACAGCAACACTCTGAAAGTCCTCTTTATTGTGCTGGATGATGTTTGCTCATTCCTGGGATGTGAAGCTAGACCCCCAACCATAAACCGTCAATATTCATGAAGTTCGCAAAGCGGCAATGTGCCTCCGGAGCTGGCAGGGCCGTCTCGTGGGGCTCCATTTAACATTACATGTACCATCGTATGCTACATTATGTGTACGTATATATATATATATATGTATATATATGCTCACCCCCCCCCATTGACAGACCATGGCCTTGTGACACTGTGCTCTTGGCAGGTGACTCGGCTGAGATATTGTATCTAAACACGCCACACCCGACGATAATCTGTAAAGTAAGACCTTCAAGTAGATATACAACGTATACTTTGACATGCCATGTACTGAGGACGCATGCACCAGACGTGCGGCACATGAGTTACGCAATAGTTTTGTGGTAGTATCGGTATTAGGGTGAGTATGATTCTTAAGATTAGTACTATTGTTTGCTGTAAGTATACATATCAATATTGCCAACTATAGTTTAGTGTAAGTGCTCATGTTCGTGTTAGAGTTAGCGCTACTGCCAGTGTCAATGTCAGTAATACAGCACCACTGCTACGAGTAGTATCAGTATCAGTCTTAATGCTGGGTTCAATAGCAGCTTATACTCGCAGAAGTGCTAGTATTAGTATCAATATTAGAACTAGTTAGTTTTGATATGTTAGTATATTGATAGTCTCGTATATTAGCAGATTAGTATCTCAATGCATCAATGTATTCGAACAGTAAAATATTTGCATACTTGTATACTAGTATATTTTACATGTTAGTACAACTGGTGCATGAATACACTCGTATATTGGTGTATTAGTTTACTAGTATATTAACATACCAGTATATTCGTACGTTAGCATATTAGTATACTAGTATGTGTACCATATTCATGTGTTGTCTAATCATTTATAAGTATATGAGTATGCTGGCATATTAGTATGCGAACTTGTCATGTCGGTATTCTTGCATGTTGCAGTAGTCGTATATTAGTATAGTCACATATTAGTATAGTATATTCATACAACAACGAAAAGTACATTGTTACATTGGTATATGGGTATATGCCTATGCCAAAGCATTAATACATGAATGCATATGTATATATCTGTATCTTAGGATAGTGGCATGTGTTTTATGTACATTAGTATATGCAGGTGTCTATTAGTAGTGAATTTATTTTTCATATCAATATGAATATACTATTGGCATTCAAATTCGTAGGAGTATTAATGTCAATATTATTAGAATTAAGACTCTTTATAGTCGTATTAGCCATAATATGAGTGTGCATGCTGGTAATACTAGTGGCATTCTTGAAATATTCAGCAGATTACCAAAGTCCGCATTAATGTTGGTGATAGCACTACTGTTAACGCACAAGAGTTTGCGTCTTCGTATTCGTAGGAGTATCAATAGCTATGTGTTAAGTATTAGCAGTAGTGTTAGCGTTAGTACTATTATATTATTGATGATCTACATTCACAAGAATGTTTGTATTAGTACTACTCTTGATCACGTGAAAATACTAACAGTTGAATACATGAGTGAGTTAAAGGGTTTGAATTTTGATATAGTGGTATGCAAATTTATGTACATTAGCACATACAGGTGCCTGTTAGTATTGGTGTTAATATACACTATTACCAATATGAATATGATTATTGATATGCGTGCCTCGCCCTACTGTGACGTCATATTGGCTCCGAAAGTGACATTAGTTCTGGTTCGATGCGGAGACTAGCACGATAAGGCGCTCGGGTGTCCCACCAAGAAAGGAATTACAGAGCACATGTGTATGGATGAGGGTTGTGCTGATACACTACACAGTAAGCACTACATAGTAATCTCACTTGAGTCATATATAGAACAGATTCCAGCATTTCCAAAATTTCCAAAATTTTCTTCCATATCTTTCCGGATTTCCAAAATTTCCAAAATTTCCAAAATTTCCGAAATTTCCGAAATTTCGGAAATTCCCGAAATTTCCAAAATTTCCAAGATTTCCAAAACGGCCCGACCTAGTCGACAGGATTTTTCCAAAACATAAGGGCGGACTTTTTGGAAATTTTGGAAATTTTGGGAATTTTGGAAATCCGGAAAGTTAGGGGAGCGAATTTTGAAAATTTTAGAAATTTTGGAATTGAGTTTTTGAAAGCTGAGTGCCCCCTCCCCCCCGATCACAGACCATGCGCTACGACTGAGTTGAAAGGGCATGGTCTGTCAACGGGGGGGTGTGACCATATATATATATATATATATATATATATATATATATAGCAAAGTTCATGCTATGTAAATATACAACAAAGTTAGAGTTATATGTATATATATATATATATATACGTACATGCTCATAACCGTCTATCCATTTATCTATCCATATGTATCCATGAGCTTGTCATTACCTCCGCTTGTTCTCCCTTGTAACAAGGACCCTGAAAGGGACGCTAAGTAAGAGAACCAGCCAAATGCACCCATGTCCCTTTCTGGCTTTGCCTGTCCGCCCTTTTTATGCCGACTCGTGGGCATTCCTCTGCTGCTACTCTTGCTCGTCTTTGTGTTTCTGCTTGAGAGGCTTGGGCTTTCTGCAGCGGTGGAATCTCTTCAGAATGGATTGTCTGCGGTCAGAAATGCTGGGTACTTGCTGATCTGTATATACAGCAGCTGTTTTGGTGTTGGTGTCCCTTTCCCGAACAAATTCTTTCCGTTGAGTGAACACCGAGGCCCCCTTTGAGTTCGTTCGGAGCCTGCAGATAGGGGAAGCACAAGCTGCATGCCCAAACGGCACCCTAAACCCTGAATCCTAAACCCTGAACCCTAAAACTCTAAAACCCTAAGCCCCAAACCCTAAAACCCTAAACCCTGAACCCTGAATCCCCTAAATCCAAACCCCAAGCCCAGTCCACAGCAGCAGGCGAACACCCGGCAGTGCTGCAGATGCGGTCCCTGAAGAATCTGGGTAGCCTCCGGGATTGCAACATGTCATTTGGGATGAAATATGACTTGCCGAGCATACCCTAAACCCGAAAGCCCAAAATCATGGACCCAAAACCCTGAAGCCTAAGCCCTAGAACTCTAAACCCTAAACCTTAAACTCACCGCTTCCTGATCCTTTGCGGGCTACCTCCCAGGCGTTCCAGAGATTACGGACGTGGATCCGCCAGCTCCCCGGATTAAGCGAAGGAGAGTTTATCCTAAACCCTAAACCCTAAACCCAAAACCCAAAACCCCAACCAAGTTGGTTAACAGGGTTTGTCAGATATGTAGGATAAGGTTTTTTTAAGTAGAGTGCTTTTAAGATGCGGATTCGACGGTTGTCATAGGGTCCCAAGGAGTTGGCTTTGTGGGGATTTGTCAGTTGTTTTCTTCAATGGAAATTTGTGTATGGGGGTTCTTTACGAAGAGGGGTCCCGATACAACGGATCACTCGCAGTAGCTGGCAGCTATACGAATTTGGGGGGCTCAGGTGCCGGAACGTTGCTTTTCTGCATATGCATCAGTGAGGTGATTCCATTGTTTGCACTTTTCTCTCATGGTTTCATTCTGCATAATTCTTCAACAAAGACGCAACTTGCTGAGTCGCAGATCGTGGAAGAGTCCCTGAACCCTAAACCCCACACCCTGAACCCGAAACCGAGAAGAATAACCCGAAGCCCTAAATCGTGTAAAGCAATTTTCCCTGGCAGATTGCAGGTGTACTGTCCAGCGTGTTGTGCTGCTGGACGACGTGAAGGCCCTTTGTCCGCTGACGTGGTTTGAAGCGGAGAACTTTGTTTTCCACACTTCAAACTGTCTGCTTGTCTTGTTGCTGTGTCGACTGTGGCTGTTTGCTGGTGCTGGAATTGTTGTTGGCACTGCTGATGGTTGTGGTGTCGGTGGTGGTGGTTTTGGCAAGGGGGAAGATGAGGTCTGTGGTCACGACGATGCTGGCAAGAACGATGAGGGCTCACGAGTATTCATCTTTCTCATGAATGCTTACCGCAGCTTTGATTCTGCTGTTGTCTTTCGTATTATTGGGAGTTTTTCTTGTTACTAGTGTTATGCTCGCTGTTGCTATGATGAGGATCATCATCAGCATCACTCTCACGATTGTTGCTATTGCTGCTCACCTCATATACTGTCCTCCCCCTTGGTGTTGTCGTCATTAGGCTAATATTGTTGTTCTTATGCCAGTAGCCTTGTCGTTGCCTAGCACTGCGAATCACAAAGGGGCCATGCGAGTTAGGACTCGGTCGGTATGAGATGATGAGGTCAGCAGACCTCTCAGGGATCCTCAGGGTCTCAGTCGAGTATATTCGCACTGAGGGTTTACGGTAGTGTCCCAGAGAGAGTATTTGTTGTACCTGGTGGCGTATCGGGCAAGAGCTGGCCATGCCCAATGTTGGAGAATGCTGGTCTATAAAAAAAATTTGCGTTTTGCAAGCCTTGCATTGTGCTTGGCTTGTCGAGGTGCTTTCTGAAGGTGCTATCTGCACAGTCGTTCCCAAAGAGGGTGCGGGACTTGGGAGCCACCCCCGCTTTCTGCTTTGCGGCTTGAGTCTTAGATGTCGATGTCATTACCATGCAGGTTGGAAGCCCTAAGCATGCATACCGTAGATCCGAAAAGGACAAGATCCTGAACCGCGCCTCAGAAACCCTAAACCCTAGGAGCGGTAACCGAAGATTCTGAGTTATGAGCTCTTGACCCAAGGTTGAAACGGAGCTTAACACGTACAGTTGCCACTCCCTCCCGCCCAATCTAATCCGACACAACCACAATCGTCCCTCCACGAAGAAGGCAGCGAAGAACATAGCAGAGTCCACTTACGATGGGCAGACTCAGTACACAAGTGACCACTGTCCGCGGCTGGAGAAGACTCCTCACAGAAGAACCCTTTGAATCTAGCTTCGTTTGCAATCTCATGCATCCCGTATATGCCATCAGAACTGGAAATCCAAGTATTTACGCTCACTTTAACACCGACACAGCATACACACTCCGCGTCCCCATGCCCTCTTTACGACAGATTCTATGATCCACTTCGCAGCTGATCACTCGCATCGACCCCTCATTGTGAACGGCGGACCACATTCCAAGATTCCGAAGATGGTGATGGCGCTGATGCTGCTGCAGATGTTGATGATGCGAGCTCGCAGTTTCGTAATCATGGTTTTTATAAGAAAAACCTACACCTATGTTTCAAACATCCTATGCGACACGATGTAATGTCTAGTTGATTAGAATGATTTAGACGTGCTAGGCGCCGTTCCTATTCGGACTCGGGTCGTGCGTCATTGGCATCGGCGGTGAGTAGCTGCTGGACTTCTGACCTTCTTACACATAACGTAGTCATAGACAAAGCTGCGGCACTGGCGACACGAGGGCCAGCGGTGGCACTGGTTTTGTTGTCGGCATAATTGGAATATCACCCTCGTTTTGCCCTAACCTAGTCCCCAGACAAGCAAGTAGCTCCTACGGAACCCGATTCTAGCTGCATGACTCCATCGCGCAATCTGAGGGCGTGCATTACACCTTCATTTCCGCACGCAGCAGGTGCCACGGGCCGAAGTTCCGAGCTATTAAGATAGTAACTAGGGTTAGTAGGGTAACTATACTTATAATTACGTATAACCCCAATTAAGGTACTTATTTGCATAGTTACTATAAGATTTCTAGGTTTCTCTCAATGACTGCACGGAACGGCTTTTGGGCAACCCTGAACACCTGTGCATCGTGAGCGAGAAACGAAAACTTCCTCAGTACCCTTTGGTTGAGGCTGAGCGAGCCTCCGTGACGATTGCAGAAGCAGTAGAAATCCACTCCTGCTGCTGGTGCACTTGCACTGGCATTAACTTAGCATTGGAGCCTCTGTTCTGTAACATAGTTTTCCAGAAATGCTCGTCAAGAACGTCGCAGACAAAGTTCCCCTCAAGGGCTCCGATTTTAGCCATCCTGAAACCAGAATGAAGTACTTTCTAGATAGAAAGACCTTGTGTTCGACGGCGCGATACTCCGAGCAGCCGCTAACTTTGTCAAGAACAGCAAGTGCAATAGAAAGAGTAAGAATAAGAGTAGTAGTAACAGGAGTAGGAGTAGGAGTAGCAGTAGCAGTAGCAGTAGCAGTCGTAGTAGCAGTAGCAACAGCAACAGCAATAGTAGAAGTAGTGATCATCAGCCCAACTCCAAAGCTCCTGCCAGAGCCTTGTCAAGTCCACGCCGGCATTTCAGGTAGCCAGGCAATGGTGCCAGCTCCTGGACAAAGCTTGCCAGGGCATAACCAGGCAGGAGGAGGTCGGGCCGGACAGGTTTGTTTCTAAAGAGTTCGGAGTTTCAGGTTCAGTGAGGAGCTCTAGAGTTTTGTGGTTGAGCATCGCGGCCCCGGATTTGCACCACACGTACTGTTCCACTTTTGCAGGACGCCATCGTTTCAATCATCCTGTCTCCGACGTAAACAATGTGCTTCCAGAGCAGCCATAACCGTTGCCAGCTCCCAGCTGCTACTGCTCGCTCTTGCGACCATTGCTGTACTGGTGCAGTGTTAATGTTATACCATGACTTCATGATTCCACAACCATGCTACTGCTACATGTTACGAGACTGCGATCACTGCTTTTACTACTGCCGCCATGATGGCTGCCACTCCTCCTCGTCCTGCTTCGGCTGTTGCTGCCGCTGGCTACTAAAGGGGACTACCACTACTGCTGCTGCTGCTGCGGCTACTACTACTACTACTACTACTACTACTACTCCTGCTGCTGCTGCTGCTGCTGCTGCTGCTGCACCGGCTACGACTACGACGACGACGACGACGACTACTACTACTACTACCACTACTACTTCATCAACCAAAACTACAAGTACAAGTACAACAACAACTACTACAACTACTGGTCCTGCTGCTGCTGCTACTGCTGCTTCTACAGCTCTGCTTTTGCTGCTGCTGCTGCTGCTGGTACTGCTGCGGCTGCTATTGCCACTACTTCTGCTACCAACACTACCAATGCTACTGCGGCGATGGGTATCAATGTTCTCAACGATAGGTTTCAGTAGTAATGTTGCCCCTGATGATGGTGGTATTGACAGCAAGATGCCAGGGGTAGGCGGCACAGTTGTATTCCAATCACATCCAGGAAGGCATGCTTTCAGCATGTACGCATGTGATGAAGAAGCCGGGTTTAAGGAGACCCTAAACCCCAAGCCCTAAACCCTTTTTCCAAAACCCTAAACCCTTTTTCCAAAACCCTAAACCCTTTCTAAACCCTAAACCCTAAACCCCTAAACCCTAAACCCCTAAACGCAGCTTCCATTCGGCAGATCAGATCCTGACTCTGCGGCCCCAGGCCACTGGCTCTAAACATGGGGGCTTCAAGAGGCTGAGGATCCTAAGTCGATCCCTCAAGCGAAGCCACACTCTGCTCACTCCCTGACTGACAGCCCCAACAGCGCCTTGAAGGCAAAATTCACCCTAAACCCCCTGAACCCTACGAATACAAAGCACGTCCCCAGAAGACACTAAGCCTTAAGCTCGAAGCCTGCAGCCGTGGCTTTTCCTATGGGCGGTGCCTTGCGAACCAACAGACCAACCGGAGCCATGCTGCGCGAGGTTCGTCGGGACTTCCGTTTTGGCTTCTTCTTGTTTGGGGCTTTAGTGTTGAGCCTTTTTGTTTCTTTTGGGGTTTGTCAGGTTTCGGCTTCCGATCGTTTGTTTTCTGGCCACAGCTAAACCCTACGCCCTAAACCCTGAACCCTAAGCCTAAACCCCAAGCCCTAAGCTTAAGCCCTAAGCCATAGCTCCTAACCCTTATGCCGTACCGGTGGGGGTTGAGAGCTGGGGGTTAAGAGCTTGGGCGTTTGGGGCTTCGAAGACTCCGGCTGAACCGAGACGAGCTTTATGGTTTGGGGTGAGGCTGAAAGCCTCTCTAGTTTAAGGTACCACGTGTCTTAGGGGGTCTCTTAGGTAGGGGAGTGGCAAGATTTTATACGATCCAGCATGATGAGCACCGATTAAGTTTTTGTGCTTGCCGTTTTGCTTGCTCTTGGTCTTCTTAGCATTTTCCTTTTTTTACCACTGATATGGACCCTTGGCTTCTTCGTCTTGTTGTCCCTATTCGTATTCTTACTACACTTGCTATGAATTTAATTCGTACGAGTGCTGAATATTCTTCTTCAGGCATTGTCAACGTCACCTTGTGAGGCACAGAGAAAAGGGCCAACAAGAAAGCGCCTTCTTCCCCTCAAACCTTAACCCGAAACCCGATCCCTAAACCCTATCCCCAAAACCCTACGGGTAACCCTAAACCCCTAAGCCCCTAAACCCCAAACCCTAAGCAGCTCTCCCCCAGGCTCTGCCCGGAGATGGGCCGCAAGGCGCGCCAGGCCCCGAAGCGACCATCTTACAAGCGCCCCTGCACTGTCTAAGGGTAAATGGTTCAGGCTTCTGCGTGAGGGTTTAGGGTTAAGTTTTCTTTGCTTGGCTTTCAGGGGCTAGATAGCTAGATATATTTGGTTCTGTGTAGTTAATTATGCATATGTACGTATTTTCTATTTGCGCAAGATGCTTGTGTGATTCAAGGGTCCTGTGCTCAGAACAGGGCCACGTTTTTTTTTTTCAGTTTCGGGTTCAGGGTTGAGGAGTATATGCGTTGGGGGCTTTGCGCTCTTGGAGTTTGGGGTTTTGGGGCTGTGGGCTCTTCTTTGGGCTCTTGGAGTTCCCCTAAACCCTAAGCCGAGTGTGTAGGTTTTGTGTTTTGGGCTCTGGGGGGGTACGGTCGAGGGTTTTTGCGGCTCTGGGCTTTGAGCACTTCCGGGTTAGGGTTCAGGGTTTACGGTTTAGGGTCTAGTGAACTTTAGAACCGAATGTGAAACGACGGCGGTGCTCTCTCAAGCTTCTCAGGTTGAGGGTAGCGGCCCATGGTTCTTGAGCAGGCCCTCTCGGTGCTAAGGGTCCTTCATCAAGGGGCCTCTACAAACTTGTGGGGGCTCGGCTGTCCTTTTTATTGCGGCGCGGGCGCTGGGGCCTTGATCGCCAGCTTTCTGCTGGGTCTTATCTGCGGGACAGCTGCGGGCGCCGCGGGTGTATACTATTTCTTGGTAACCGCCTGTAGGCCTACGCCAGACCAGGCTCCTGAACTTCAGCCGCCGCAGGCGGTGCTGCAAGCCCGAAGGCGGGCGCGTCTTAGCGGTTACGTTGCATGAGCGAGGAGGAGACACCCAGCTGGGATTTGTCTCTTCAGATCGAGGGTTTGTCCCTTAGGCTTAGGGGTCTTAGGGTTAGCCCGGCCCGGTCAACTTCGCCTGCCTCCTCCCTCTCGGGTTTTTCGGGTGTGCCTCAGGAGCCCCGGCTAAGCCCTAGGTCCCTAACCCGTGCGAATCCGCCTGAGCATCTTTGCAGCTCGGTGGCCCCGCCTGCAACTGCCCCAAGCACTCATCTCGCTGCCTCTTACCCGGCTGCAGTTCAAGGATACACCAGCCCAAACCGTGGGCCTTCGCGTGCTGCGCCCCGGCCTGGTGACAGTTTTGCATCCTCAGCTCCTGCTGTGCCTGAGTACCCCTTGCCCAGTCGCTCGCCGACTCTGAGGTTTGAGGCTAGGCAAGCGATCGCTGCATCCTTTGCTCCTATCCCTCCTCACTGTGTTGACCTCTGCCGAGGCCTCTCCACTGCTGAGCTCAGCCCCACTGAACGAGCTGAGCGCGCTTGGCTCGCTGGTTGCTGGGCAGGTGCCGTCTTGAGCGGGCTTGCTGATCGCCCGGACCCTTCTGTGCCATTGCCTTTGACCTCCAGGTTTTATTGCATCCTCAGGGCTAGGTCCATTGAGCAGCCTGTTGTCTGCTCTTCGCTCACCTCCTTTCGGCGGATCATAGGCCCTGCATTGGGCGATTCGATCTCTCACGGCTTCCCTTCCTCCTCTGAGGCCCGCGTCTTCTTTGCTGGGGCAAACCTGCCCTACCCAGCCGCCCTCACTCGCCGATGGACTTGTTGGTGGCGTACGAGACCGGAACTGTGGAGCTAGTTGAGCTCTCCTGGCCCCCAGGCCTGGAGGAGGGCGTCCCGCAAATATGCGTCGGCTATGTTATCATGAAGCGGCCCTCTGGATTCTTGCTTTGTGTTCCGGAGGGCTTCATGTCACAAGTGGAGCTGGAGAACGGCCAGGCTGCAATGGAGCTGGAGGGAGTGGGCCCCTCGATCGTCATCAGGGCACCTCCGGTGCAGCTAGCCGCTTCAGGGGAATGGGTCACAGCTCCCGAAGGAGAGGAGGAGGTCCCAGCCCTCTTGGTGGATCTGGCTGCCCCTCTCGCGGAGCAGATCAGCCCGGTCGACCTATCGGCCCCGGACTTGGTGCTCTTCCGCCCCGGGCAGGCAATGATTTTTCCTTTGGCATCGGACGTGCTTCGCCAAGCGCGGGAATGGCTGACTACCGATCCTTTCCGGCCGAGCGGGGCGGGTATCACACAGCTCAGTCTGCCCCGGAGGGCCCATCCCCTGGAAAGGCAAGGCAGGCGAAACCGAAGCGGCCCACGGTGCAGCAGCTTGCCACCCAGCAGGAAAAGATGATGGAGCTGATGGCTTCACTTGTCGGGCGGCTGGATGCCTTGGCCCCTCCTGCTCCGGCGCAGGCTGCCCCGGCTGCTCCAGAGGTGCCAGCTCCTCAACCGGCGGCTCCACATGCTGTTTTGAGCCGCCCCTTGGCTTCCGTGCTGCCTCCTTTTCAGAGTGCCCCGAAGAGTCTTGCTTCTGTGGTGGGCCCGCCCCCGCCGGCACGAGCGCAGCCGCCTGCTGCGGCCCAACAGCCAGACAAGGAGGAGCAAGCCAATGCTCACTTGGAAGCGGGCGACCTGCCCCCGGTCGAGAGCGGCAACTCTTCTTTAGCGTCTGCGGTTCTTGCTCAAAGTCAGGCGCTGGTGGCGCTGGTGTCCCAGATGTCGCAGGGAGTCACGGACCCTCTCTTGGAAGGCCAGCCCGGCCAGTCGACTTCAGTCAGGGGATCGGTAGGCCGTGCACAGCTCCAGCAGGAGCTCGCAGCCCGAACGGGGGCGTTCGCCGACCGTGTCCGCGAAAACATGACTCGCAGAATGGATCCCACCGGGCTTCTGGCAGAAGACCAGGTGAGTTTCCTGCGCTTCTTGGAGCGCCACGGAGGCTATGCAAATCAGCAGCTGCTAGGCCTAATTGCGTGGCAGCTTGCCCAGTGCCTAGATCTTCTGCATATTGGTTCCACCGACGGCGCTCGGGACGCCTTGAGCCTCCTGCTGGTGATGGTGGAGCAAGTGGCCCGCGACCGCGGCAGCTCCAC